ATCTTCATCTTCATCTTCATCTTCATCTTCATCTTCGTCTTCATATTTATCTTTTCCTTTATCCTGATCTATATCTTCATTCTTTTCTCAATTTACGTATTTACCCCCATCATTGTTATTAGGTTAGGTAGTTAAATTTTCCTTCCTCTTTTCCTTTATATTGTTTCTTCAGTGATATCATGTCATGTGTTGAAATTGGGTGTGGTGAGTTGCAGTGTGGTGGAATTGGGTGTGGGAGTTACGGTATTATGAATTCAGGTGTGGTGGTCTTAAGAGGTGTGGTGAATTAAGGTGTGGTGAGTTAAGGTGTGGTGAGAAAGTTGAGGTGTGGTGAACTAAGGTGTGGTAGATTAAGGTGTGGTGAGTTAAGATGTGGTGAGAAAGTTGGGGTGTGGTGAGTTAAGGTGTGGTGAATTAATGTGTGGTGGATTTAGGTGCGTTGAATTAAGGTGTGGTGAATTTAGGTGTGGGGAGTGAAGTAGTGGTGGATTTAGGTGTGGGGAGTTAAGGTGTGGTGAATTAATGTGTAGCGAACGCAGGTGGAGTAAGTTTTTAAGCGGAGGTGAGATGAGTTGAGGTGAGTTAAGTTAAGTTAAGGGGTTAAGTTAAGATAAGTTATCTTTGTCCTTATCTTCATATTCATCTTCATCTTCTTCCTCGTCTTGGTCTTCATCTTCTTCTTCATCTTTATCGTTTCCTTTATCCTGATCTAAATATGTCCATTCTTTTCTTCATTTACATATTCACCCCCACCATTGTTATTAGGTTAGGTATTTAAATTTTCCTTCCTCTTTGTCTTTATATTTAGGTCTCTTTACTTTTATTTTAATTTCTGTATTTATCCCTTTCTTCTTCTCCATACTCAAAATTATCTTCATCCTTGTTTGAGGCTAATCTATTCATGTATATACATACATACATCTTATTCCTAAACTGCTGCTTAGCACGTTTCTTTAATTCACTATCAATATTAAAGCATACATTTAGGAGGCATTTCCGCCCCAACCATGTACATGTATGGCAATGGTATAATGGCACGATTGCAGGCATCTGGAGATAGCATACAAATAATGTGAATA